TTTTTTTTTTTAAAAAAAATTGCCTCTTCAAAACCTTGGTGCGTCTTATACTCCAAAAATACGGTACATGAAGCTCCCTTTGTGTGAGCGGAGGGCACACGTGTGTTGGAAGGAAAATCCAGGTCCTGTTCCAAGCCGGGAGAAAGGCACTGGAGCAGGGGTGGATTTCGGCTGTTGCTACTGTTGTTTTGCTGAGGGATGCATCCTGCGCGGGGGCGCACATGCGCAGAATAAAAACAACAACAAGATGGCAGTGCTTACATCACCGCCAAGAAAACCGGTTCGGAGGCATAGCAGGCCGAGTTACAACCTACTCATCCGAACCGGACTGAACCGTTAGGAACACACTTCTGCCCTCGAGACAAAACTTGAGGCTGAAGTCTGACTGAGAAGGAAGCCGGACCACCAACCAGCCACATGTGATTCTGGGTCAAGCTGAACAAAATGGAGTCGAGAGTGGGTGGGTTTTTATACCTTCTGTTGGAAGGCATGTCTCCCCAGCTCCGAGTGGGGAAAAAAACACGGAGGCGGCTTGGAAGGATGGTTGAGTGGTGAAGCCGAAGCACCAAGCACAGTGTGCTTCTGGGGAGCTCAACCCATGGAGTGGAGAGAGAGAGGAGTATTTACACCCGGTCTTGGGCCTTGCCCTTGAGCTTCCTCTTCCTGTGGGAGAAATGTATCTCCAACCAGCACACAAATCAATACTTCAGGAAGGTTTCATGTATAAAAGAAGCTTCTTTATATGCAGTAATATAAAGTATAATGCAGGTATACAATGCCCATGCATTCTATACATCCTTCCTTCTCCTCCTTCCCATCTCCTTCCTTCCTTCCCTCTCTCCCTCCTCCCTTCCTTCTTTTTCCTCGTTTTCATCTCCCTTCCTTCTTTTTCCTCATTCCCATCTCCTTCCTTCCTTCTCCTCATTCCCATCTCCTTCCTTCCTCCCTTCCTCCCTTCTTCCTAATCTCCATTCCCATCTCCTTCCTTCCTTCTCCTCATTCCTATCCCTTCCTTCCTTCTCTTCATTCCC